AAAAGGTCCAAAGGTGTAGGGGTGGTGGAAGGGGAAAGGGAAGAATGGAAAGGAAAAATTATATGAGAAAAGAAAAAAAAATGGAAATGAAGTCTATGTAAATAGGGAAGGGTGGAGGGGGTGAAGGGCGCACAGGCAATGGGGAAAGAATGAGAACCAAGATACATCACGTTCAGGTACAAGCACCCAATGATAAATGTAAACATGTTGTATACCTAAAATGTACCAATAAAAGAATTTAAGGGAAAAAAAGACGGCAAAAGCAACAAAAGACCTTAACAGTGTCTTTCTGTACCTTTTCATCTTATTCAGACTACTTAAGGCAGGTAGCACGCAAGCCCTTAATCCTTGTGCCTTCAAGCCTAGCCCCACCATGAATCATTCACACACTCTAGATTCAGCCACCTCTGAAAAAGCAGGAGGCTTGAGGGGGGGGCATCTAAACACAAGCCATACAGGTGTCTAATGTAGCGCATTCTGGACTAAGCCCTCACTACTTCTTAACACAGCAGGGACCCCCTGCCACCTGCAGTGTAGACACGGGTTGAAGAACAGCCTAAGCTTTGGTCTCAGGGAACTTATCATCTAGATAGAGATTGTGTGTGTGTCCACCTGTGCACCAGGGGGAGAGCAGTCAGGCTGCTACTGCAGGGCACGTGGGAGCTGGGTGGGCAAAGCCCTCTGGTGGAGCATGGGTTCTGAGAGCCATGTGAGAGACTGTTAGTGATGTTGCAGAATTAATTGCAAGGCATGAAATCCCTCTCAACTCACTTTGTGAAAGTAGGGGTTAGCATACCACTTGGGCATCTGAGGCTGGAGCCAGGGCCTCCGCCCTCTCTCAAGTCTCTATTTCCTCCTCTCTCCTCTGCCTCTCTATCTCTTGGCCCCTCCCATTTCCCCTTGCTCCCCATCATCAGTGGATGTTGGGGGCCAGAACAGTAATCTGGGTTCCTGTGCCCTGGTCTGGGGTAGCTTTTTTTTTCTTTATCCTTTTATTGGTACATTTTAGGTATACAATATAATGACATTCATCATTGGAAATCTGCACCTTTACATAATCTCTCTTGGTTCTTATTTTTAGGGGTAGCTTTTGAAGACACTCATCACCTTCTAGTTTCACTCACCACTCTTGTTCATGATTTTCTGCGCTCTGAGTTGAATTACAAATATACTTGAACTAGCCTATCTTTGAGCAAACAAGGCAGTTCCCTATCTGCATGCTAGCATATGGTGGTCACCTGAGATAAACAGTGTGGACACTCAAGAAGAGGGACTTCAGTAGCAGCTAATCTGAGAAGACCTTACATTGACTGGATCCTCCGGGAAGTGTGTGCTCTGTGAGGATGGCCAGTGAAATGGACAGTTTCTGTTTAGTTAGGGAAGCTCCCATGGCCAGCTTGTAGTCATAGTAAGAACTTCATCCAATAGTAAGGGACCCTGGACTCCACTTTAGTGACTTTTTGGAGGTAAAATATCATATAAAAAGTTGCATTACACAAATATAGCTGCCCTTTGGTATCAGTATTGAGATTAGTTTCAGCACCTGCCTCAGAGACAAATCCTCGGACACTCACATCAGATGGTACAGTGTTTCTGTAAGACCCACATAATCCTCCTGTGTAACTTTAAATCATCTCTAAATTTAATACCAAACACAATGTGAATGCTATGTAAATAGTTGTTATACTATATTGCTTAGGGGTAATGACAAAAAAAATGTACATGTTCAGTTCAGATGCAATTAAAACGTTTCATCCAAGCTGGTTGAATTGGGCTGTGAATCTAGTGGATGTGGGGGCTGACTGTGCATTATCTTACTTAACTCTCCACAAACACCCTGTGAGGTGGTACTGCAGGGTCTTACTTTTAGGGGTGGAACTGAGGCTCATAGAAGCTGTGTATGTGGTCTGACAGTGCTGAATGGCCAGTGCTCTCCCTGGAATGCCGTATCAGACCAAGCACTTGGCTGTCAGCATGACCTTCTCCCGTCATGAAGGGAGCGTGTCAGAGTCTCACGAAGGCCACCTAGCACTTCTGAGCTCACACTCAGGCCTCATGACCTCCTGGAGATAGTGAAGTCCTTCATCAAGGACCCTCGGGCACAGCTTGTGGTCAGTTAGTAACTTGAATCTGGAATGTCTGCTGCTAAAGTCCAAGCTGTTAGATGTGTTACTTTGGTGCATCTACTTTGGAGAGGTTAACCATTGCATTTCACAGCCTGCTGACCCAGAATGTATGCCACTGTGTAGGAATTGTTGCCTTAAACTTGTCCCTCTTCCTTTCTAGGTTGCCCCTCTATCTGGTCTCCCTTTTGATCAGTCTTGTTTTCCTGCTGGTGAATCTGACCTGTGCTGTGCTGGTGAAGACAGGAAATTGGGATAGGAAGGTCATCGTCTCCGTGCGAGTGGCCATTAATGACACACTTTTCGTGCTGTGTGCCATCTCTCTCTCCATCTGTCTCTACAAAATCTCAAAGATGTCCTTAGCCGACATTTACTTGGAGTCTAAGGTAGAGTGGGAATGTGTTCAGATCCCTCCCATGAAACTTGTTCATAAAAATAGGTGTCTAATTTGTACAGGACACACTCAACAAATATTTTTTGCACCTGTCCTTTAGCAAATGATTAGCCACACTGTGGTCACCAGGACATAGGGCTGTATAGTCCACTGAATTTTGTGTGTAGGAACTGTTCCATCTCAGGTGGCTTAAGAATGTTAGTGTGTGCTGGGCCAGGGATTTAGCCCAGTGGCACCGTGCCTGCCTCCCAAGCACAAGGCCCTGAGTTTGATCCCCGGTACCAAAAAAAATGTTAGTGTGTGCAGAATCACTGGCAGAGAGTTCAGTCTTTGGTTTATAGATATTTAACCCATATTTTAAAGGATTAGTGAGAATTGACGGTACCAACAGCACTAATAGCAAACATCTAGTGTTGTGTCCCTGGCAGGCACTTTGTGTATTCACCTGGTGTCATCCTTACAGATCTATTGGGTTAGGTAGTGTTATAATCCCCATTTTAGGATAAAGAAACCAAGGCACAGAGAGCTCAAATAGCTTGCCCAGGGCACGCAGCTAGCAGGTACAAAGCTGAGTCACACCTGGCAGGATCTGTGGCCTTTACTGCCTCCTTGTGCTTTGGAGACTCAGACTCAGACTCACACTTGTGGGCTATGCCCTCACGTAGCCTCTCCTTCAAGGTAGAAATGGGGTTCCAGAGACTGTCTTGCCTGTGGATGGTTCAGAGACTGAGCCACACATGGGTAGGAGAGAAGCTCCTGGCCCATTCCCTTCTATCCTGTGCTTTGTACCCTCAGCTCCCAGGTCCCACTTTCCTGTCTCTAGGGTCATAAAAGGCAGATGTGTGCAGATATGCTCTGGTACCAAAGTGCATCTGGTCAGCCAGCTCCCCCTAATTCCCTCACTGAGATTCCAAACCTGAGCCTGGAAGCCTGGTGAGCAGTGGGGCCAGGGCTGGCTAGGGACCCTGCCCCTGTCACTTTGCCTCTGTGGACCTGCCTCCCCTCACTAAATGGTTGAGTGATCTGCCCAGCTCCTCTGCTTCTGAGACGCAGTGCCTGTGTGCCCTGTGGAAAATCTGCCATCTGCCTGCTTCCCTTCGGGCTCATTTTGACTGTAATGTTTTTGGTCTGAAGTGGCAGCTTTGTCTTTCACAGTATTGTGTCTTCAAAAGTGATCAGCAGATTAAAATCTGTTCTAACTTTGACTCTCACAGAGCATCTTGGGAGTTAGCCAGATTCTTGCAAATCCTACAAGTTAGTGTAACAAAGTAGTTCTTTCATTTATAAATTCTGTTGTATGTGGGGCGGGGTGGAGTGGGGGGAGAAGAGACTGGGAATTGAGCTTAGGGCCTGGGCACTTGCCAGGCAGATACTACGCCACTGAACTACATTCCTGGCCCCTCTGTTGTATTTTAGACTTGATTTTGCCTTAACTTTCTCTGCTATTTTATCTCCCATATAGGGACTAATGAAAGCATTTTTTAAAAAACTGTAGTTTTCAACAGAACAGGTTCACTGGTAGACTGTTACAATGCCATTTTGCTCACCTTTGTGGTTTATGAGGGAACAAAGAACTACTGGTGAAATGAAGTGGTATTTTGGACTTAATGACTTCAAATGCAAAACTTAGTTTTAGCTTTTATGGTCATGTTAACTGTGTCTCCAACTAGGGGTTCTCTGACTGGCTTGAGAAGTTGATGGCTTCATAGAGTGGAGCATGGGTCATGGATTTCCATGTAATTCTACTCTGAATCACATCAGTACTCATGCTGGTCCATCCTCAGTGGCTGTGGGTTTTGAGAAAGAACACACTGTAGCACACTTTGCAATGCCTCCTCTCCCAGCTCCTGTCCCTCTGAGACTGTTTCTGTGTCCCCTGAGCCAGAGGCTCTCTTGGGCTCACCTGCTGTGCCTCTTGGCTGGGAGGATCTGGAGCTGAGTATGGCAGTGAGAGACTTAACAACATAAGCCCTATGACTTTCTGGGCTTGAGGCAGAGACGCTGCAGACACTGAACTGTCAAAGCCATTAAACACCTTAAAATCTGAAGTTGCACGGAGTCGCCAAGGGGTTTTAGGACTAAGGTGGAGGGTTCTGACTGAGACCTGATGTGCTTTCACACCTCTGAAATCCCCCATAGGCTCCTGGGTGACAATAGGTGAGGGACAGTCAAGGGGCTAGTGTCCTGGACCTGCCATGGCCCACCCTGCCGGCTCTCTCTTACAGGGCTCCTCTGTGTGCCAAGTGACTGCCATTGCTATCACCGTCATCCTGCTGTACACCTCCCGGGCCTGCTACAACCTGTTCGTCTTGTCCTTTTCTCAGATGAACGTCCAGTCCTTTGATTATGACTGGTACAATGTATCAGACCAGGTCAGTGTAGGTGCCACGAGGCATGACTGGGATGGGCACCCTTTGCTGTGTGGCATTCCAAGTGGCAGAGATGTTGACTCTGTTTCTGCTGTTGAACAGCTGTGCGACCTGGAGCAGCCCTTCCAGTGTGTTGTGTGCACCCTCATCTGTCAAATGGGACCAAGGCACTTGCCTTGTTCTAGCTTATGACTTCTGAGAATATCAGATTAGAGATGTGCAGACATATAAACCTGCACATAGGTGCACGCACACTTCTTTCCACCTCATGGGGTCCTCATCAAGCAGTATTATAAGATGGTGTTATTAAAGAGTAAAATTTGCAAAGATAAATTGTATTCAGGTGTGAGAAAATGTCTAAAACTGTGAAGTTAGACTTTTAATGCAGGACAGCATTGGAGAAAACCTAGACCACAGTGACTGAAGATACTAAGGCTTAGTAAAGCCTCCCTGCACCAGTGGTTTCAATAGGATTCTTCCCTTCTACCCCAAATGTATCCTATAAATTAGTAAGTTACCAACTGTAAAGCAAGTGAACAAATGTAGGAAAATGTAGCTCATAAAAGCTCAAAAAAAGAAAAAGGACATTTATTTGACAAATACCAGTTTTTTATGCCAGACAATACAGAGTTCTGGGGATATAGAAGATGGAGACTCCTTCATCCCTGCCTGTGGGAGCTTATGCTGCACTGAGGCAGAGACAGACAGATAAGCCATTCCAGAGAAATGTACCTTTTTTCTAGTAGACAGATTGATTTGCACAGGCTCCTTCAGCTCTCCTTCGAAAAAAATGAATCCCCAACTATATATAAATCTTCTAAAATTTCCATAGTGCTCAAAATTTGAGCTGAATTCAGTCAACAGAAGAAGGAATATAATGACCCTGATGAGCTGAAACGGTGAGGACAAGGCAACTTCACAAGAGGCACAGGTAAGGGGAGGATGAACACGGCAGCAGCCCACACCCAGCCCCAATGCCACTAGCACGGGCAAGGCCTGACTGAGGTATGCCTGGTAAAACTACATATATATTTTCTGAACTTTAAACAGTGACCAACTAGAGACATCTTCAGGATACACAGGATTTTAAAAGTTGTAGTAAGCCACACGTGAGATTTACTATGTGAATCCTAATTACGTGTGTGATTTAGTGGTGGTAAATACATTCAGTGTTGTGCTCCCTTCACCACCTTCCTCCTCTAGATCTTTTCCATCCGCCCAAACTGAAGTCCATTAAATGAGTTGGTATTAACAAAATAATTATTTTCTTTTAATCAAGTTTATAATAGCCCTGGTTTTAGAATAGGGTCAGTTTTATTTTTATTGGATATATATGTCTACATCTGTTATAACCAAAATAATATAGGAGCAAGCAGGACAGATGGCCACAGGTGCATGTGGGCAGGAGCACAGGTGAAATGTGGGACGTGAAGTGTGAGGGATCACTTGGAGAGGGAGACTGTGGAGTGGACTTCTGCGCTTTCACTGTAACAGAAGGCAGAATTCAGGGTAGGGGAGTGATTCTCTGGCATGGTTTTGCTGCATTTTTTTTTTTTTTTCAAATGCTGGTCTTTCTGAGGCATGACCATACCCAACTCCCCTCTTGTCTGCTGAAGGGAGAAAACTGTCATTAGCCAGGCCCCCTTGCCATCTCCCTGGGCTGGAAGGCAAATGCCCAGGGCACTGAGGACTTTTTCTAGAAAATTTAACCAGCAATAGGCTTAAAAGATTGAAAAGCAGGATTCGGTTTATGTGAATAAAAGTTTACAGTTGGCGTGCTTATCCTGGGTCACATGTTGCTGTGGAGAATGAAGGAGACACCCTTAAGAGTCTATTCAGTTATTGATGAAAAATTTAGTTCAGATCTAAGTGAATGAGTACATTTATACACAAGCAAGAGTTTGAGGAATGAAGTAATAAAATGTCAGAGATGGGGAGTTCTTGTCTGAATACTGAGTGTTTAAATAATTGTCCAGGTTGACCATTATTACAGGATTTCTTTATGCACATTTTAGGGAAAAGAAATACTGTAATAAGATTCTGTTCATGTCAGGCAGAATATTTTCTCTGCCCTCAGTATAGAGCTTCTGTTTCTCTTTTGCTAACAGGCAGATCTGAAGAATCAGCTGGGAGACGCTGGCTATGTTGTATTTGGAGTGGTGCTTTTTGTGTGGGAACTCTTGCCCACCACCTTGGTAGTTTACTTCTTCCGAGTTAGAAATCCCACAAAGGACCTTGTAAGTACACCATTTTATATTTCCATAAAACATTGTCTTAATTCTGCTCAGAAACCTGAAATTATTTTCTATATAGGAGAGAGCCTCTTTCAGGCCACTGTGATATAGAAAGTCCCTTGACTGTTTGGTTCAGACTTTCTTTTCCTTAATTCTCTTTTCAGGGAAATGTGTTTTGGTTTAGCTTTATTTTATTAAAGAAATGAAAGTAAGGTGCATCTCCTCGCCTGGAGGAAATAACCACTTTAGTTAATGCATCAGCCTCACTGGTATTTGAGGCTCAGCTTACTGTGCCCCAAGTAGATAAGGTTTTCTTTTAGCAAAAGGCAGTGGAGAATGGTAATTTAATTCTTTGCCCCTATAGTGTGCTGGCTGTTGAATGGGATGACAAGGAGGTAAAAACAGTATTGGGAAGGGTGCTATAAATTCTCTCCCCTAGTTTGGTCATGTTTCTGATCAACCAATGATTTATAGGGGCAGGACAGAATATGCAAAAGCAGTGAGAGTGCAAACTCCTGGGAGCCTTTGCTCTACAGAGAGTTCTAGCCACACAAACTGGTGGAAGAGTTTTGACTGATGTGTGCTCTCACAAAGGAGTTGTGAATTTTGGCCTTCATGGGCAGTGAGGAAAGCATAAAAGCAGCTGCCAAACAAGTTGCAGTGCTTAGTTCACACCCAGTTAATGTGGACATGCTGTTTTATCTTGTTTTCTTTTAAATTCATCTCTGGGGAGTCACTACTGAGACAGGAACAGAAAGTGATGAGACTGGCAGGTGGGGGGTGGGGCATAGCCTGGCCTGTGGTCCCAGCACAGCGATGAGCAGTGGCTCAGGATGAAATCCAGCAGTGTGCCTTGGAGTTTTTGAGGTGAATTCAGTTTGAGGGGGCAGACACAGGGTGAAACAATTACAGAGATAGGATATGAAAACAGGCTAGGCAGTGCTCCCCAGGTGATTTCACCTTTAAAAATTTTTTGTTATAAATGCTCACATGATTATGTATATCCAAATTGCACTATCTACTTTGCCTAATTTGGGGATTTTTCATTGAATTAAAATGATTTGTTGTTACACGCAAGACTGGATGAAAGGTTAATCTTGTTAAAGAAAAGGAACACTCCAGGTGAAAGAAGCAGACTCTGTCCAGATGGGAGAACATTTTTAGTCTCTTGTGGCAAGGCACGGTGCCTGGAAGTATGCCCAGTGATCGATCACCTGTCTTTCTAGACCAATCCTGGAATAGTCCCCAGCCACGGATTCAGTCCCAGATCTTACTTCTTTGACAACCCTCGAAGATATGACAGTGACGATGACCTTGCCTGGAACATTGCACCTCAGGGACTTCAGGGAAGGTAAGACTGTTAACCTAGAGGGGCCTTGTGGAGGAGAGGGTTGCACCATGGCAATGGGTGCAATCTGAAGGCTAGGGAGCCCTGGTGACGAGAAAGAACTAACGAAGTTTTAAAAGCCCCACAACATTATTACGTACAGTAGTGTTTCCTAAACAATTCATGGGGACAGTTTAATAGCTATGCTGTTATACACATGATGAGAAATGAAGGTTTAAACAGAAAATCAGCTTACTTTACAGAATTTGTCTGTGGTATGCTAAGATATACTCTGAATGTCCAAGAGCACTTGACCATGGAATCACTCAGTGGAACATGATGTGGGAAATCAGGCAGACTTCTCTAGTCAGATGTTCTGATCAGTTAAATGACACGCATTTATTAGAATACAGTATAAGGACCAAATTTAAAACTTGATGACAGTTCTTAATTGCAGTCCTGTGAGGTCAGTACTATCGTAAGCCTCATATTTCAGATGAAACTAAGGTATCTAGAGGTGGGGTGATTTGGTCCAGCTCAAGCAGTCTCATTGGATATGAGCTCTGAGTCACTAGATTATGCAGACAGTTTGTATCGGAGCACCCATTTCCTCATCTCACCTATGCCTATGCTGTGCTTTCATGTGCAGTATAACAGAGTCTCCGTTTTTGAAAATCCACCTACAGATTTGGTCCAGAATTTTTTTCTTTTTGGTACCGGGGATTGAACTCAGGTCTTTGTGCTTTCAAGGCAAGCGGCAGAACCACTGAGCTAAATCCCCGGCCTGGCCCAGAATATTTTGGAGAGGGCAGTTAAATATAACAAAGCCCATAGCAGCATACACAGTACCTGCGAGACAGTAAATGAGCTGCCACCACCTGATTTCCAGCGATCTGGGAAGGGAAGCATCTGAGTCCCTGAGCACCTAAGTGCCTGGCCCAGGCCAGTCTGCAGTCAGGATGGTGATGGTGGCAGCCATGGGGACCCCTTCCCCCTGTCCTTAACCTAACCTGTAGATGCAATGCTCTCTGGCCACCCATCACTGTGTTCTCCTTTTAGTCCTTGGATCAGAGCCAGCAGCTGCAGGAGGAGCCAAAAGAGCTGCTTGCCGAGCCTGCAGGTTTCATCCCTCCCAGGACCCCTCCTGGCCCTCCCAGTCTGAGAGAAGGGAAGGCTTATCATTATGTGGTCTTTGTGAGTTTAAAGACTTACGTTAGCATTTCAATGTAAATGCCTTTTCTTCTAGGGTGAAATGATAGATGTACTAGCTTTATTTATTTATTTATTTATTTATTTTGGTACGGGGGATCGAACTCGAACTCGGGACCTTGTGCTTGTGAGGCAGGCACCGGAACCACTGAGCTAAATCCCCAGCCCTAGCTTTATTTTTATTAATAACACTGTATAAACTTTGAAGAGGTCTGAAGAAGGTCCTTGTTTTGGAGACAGGAGAACTAAAGCAGACCACTGCCCAGGCCAGCAGATACAAAGAACTACCTGAAAGACAGCTGATAAACACGGACTTCTGAGTACCACCTTCTTCCCTGAAACTACTCACCCTGTTGGCTCTGTTTGTCTCTTTAAACCCATTTGCTGCTGGAGCAGTCTTAGTGCCCCAACCTGCCAGGATGTCCCAGAGCTGAAGACATCCTTATTTGGGCAAAAAGTCCTACTTTCCACTGTAGCTTAAAGGAAAACAACGTGAGTACTGTGTTTTAGATACTGTTCTAAGGACTTGATAAGTGTTAACTCCCATTCTATAGAATTTGGACATAAATACAGTAGTGACTATACTCCACATTAGGATTGAAACACAATTTGTTGATAGAAAATGTGTTACATATTGTGTCTGGTTTCAGGTTCTAGAACGGCCAGACTTCTGGGCTCTAATGCATGCAGAAGAATGTTGTGGGCAGGCTGCCAGCACTGTTTTTTGTGAAAGTGGGCTTCAGTTAGCCAATTTAGGGACTCGGGGTGTTGTTCAGTGGTACGGCATCTGCCTAACTTGCACAAAGTCCTGGGTTCCATCCCCAGCACCATACACACACAAAACAAAAAAACAATTCAAAGAATTTGGAGACTGTCTAGAGTTTATACCAATTTCCAGCTCTGTCTCCTATACCTACAAAAGTATGACCTTTTAAGCCATTGAATTTTTTTTTTTTAAGCTTTGCTCCAGACTACTATGATTGGGGACAACAAACGAACAGCTTCCTAGCACAAGCAGGAACTTTGCAGCAAGATTCAACTTTGGATCCTGACAAACCAAGCCATGGGTAGCATCAGCTGGCTTTGTGGAAGACATCTATTGGAAAGCTCCACAAAGACAAACTGCAAGACGGTGGAATCTTTAGGGCACTTTTCCTTAAGATATGGGACTTGAGTTTTGTTACAGGTTCCCAGAACTAAGCAATAATTCAGATTCATAGATCCTTATTTTAGTACTAGTAAGTAATTTCACTGGGTATAATTTAAACTTTTTAAAGAAGACCTGTACTTTTATAAAGATGTATTTTATATAACTTAATGCTAAAGTATACTAGGGTATTTTCCTCAAGGATGTTACTGCAGTATACGTTGTAGTTTGCACAGACTTTTTATGCATAATTCACTTTAAAACTGTAGGATATATGGTCTGATAGTTTTAAAGCTTTTGGACTAAAGTATTCCTCAAATACCTCTGAAGGTCATTTAGACTCATTCTACATTGGTAAACTCCTGAGATACAATTGACATCTAGAAAACGAATTCCAGTGTTGAAAGTCAAAATGAAATAGTTTTTCATCAGTCTTTTAAGTAACTGACTCTTTAAAAAAAAAATACAAAAGTCCAGATGCTTGGTTTCAAAGATTTTTCTTGACATTTTGCCAAAAGTCTGATACTTCCTTTCATCAGGCACCAGTGTATACAGTTCAGTAATAAGACGTGGACCATGTTAACAGTGTAGCTGACTTAAACTATTAAACCTCCTCTGATATATTCAAAGTGATTGTGCATAGTTTTTTCAGCTCAAATAAAATATCCATTACTTCAGGACTATAGCAAGACTACCTTTGCTAGCTCAGTGAGTGGTCACTATAGCAAAGGAAAAACCAAGAGGACCCCAAGAGGGCATTATACCCCTGGTGCTAAAGTCAGAAGACTGAAATCCTGATAGTTTCTGTAATCTCCAGCCATAAATCATGACCTTTATTTTTAAATAGCTTTTTAAACAGTCAATTGGAAGCTGTGTATTTGAAACCATAGTGGTAGCACTTGTCTCTTAGGGCATGTCCCAGACAACTGCTTTGTCTTTCACTTAAAATGTTAGGAAATAAGACTTCTCTGACCTAAGTACCATTCTAAACCTCCATTATGTAGACTCTGGAGCCATAAAACTCAAATCTAGAGTATCATTCCTCTCCACCTTGGAATCTTACCTTGGGCAAGTGAGAATGACTTGTATTGATGAGTTCTGTAGCCACTGCAGCCCACTTCTGACACTTCTTCCAATGTCTTCAGGAATAACTGACTTCTGGGCATTAGTTTCACAGAAACAAGTCTACTTCTCTTATTTTGAAGGTATTTAAAATCAGAACCTCAAGTTTTAAATGAATCACGATTGTGTTTTTCATTTGTAAAGAGCACCTCTGCCCTGCAGTCCCTCCTAACATCTCTGCCTGTCCACACACAGAGCAGCCTGAGTCACCCATCACTTAAAGTGGCAACTTCCTAGGGAAGATTGTACACTGAAGCAAACTGCACTCCCTGTCTAGAGTAAGTTGTTTTTCTAAACAGAAACCCTGTTGTGGTCACACTAAGTCATGTCTTCAGAAAGTCCTGCATCCTTTAGTACAAGTGGTACCTTGGTTCACAAATGCTTTTGTTTGCCAAAAGTTTGGTTTGCCAACAGAAGCATTTGGCAGAATTTTGTTTTTGTTTGTGAACTCTGCACCAGGTGACAAACACGACCGCAGCCATCTTTCCCAGAATCATGGGACAAATTAAGTTAGTGAACCAAGGTACCACTGTATTTGGTTAGCTGAGGGGAGGTATATATTAAGAGTACAGTGTCACAAAAATTATGTAACAGTATCTTCTTTTTTCTTTTTGGTACCAGGGATCAAACTCAGGACCTTGCACTTGCGAGGCAGGGGCGGTTGCCACTGAGCTGAGCCTCCGGCCCAACAGTATCTAAAATTGAAATATCTAGCATTATCAAACCATAATCTACTTTTTTGATAAAGCTGCTAGTATTTGTGCAAACGTATTTTTTGCTGAAAGATAAAAAGGATCTAAGTGCCTATTCTGCCCTCCTTTTAAAAAGTAATACAGAAACTTTTAGGACTACTTGTCATCACATACTAGAATACTTACTATAAGAATCATGACTGGGAGGAGACTGTCCTGCCCATCATGCACCCTGTGAGGTGCTACGGAAGGAGAAGTGAGTGTCTCTGAGCTTCCTATTCACCCACTGTCAGAGGCAACCAGTGCTGTTTGCTTGTGTGGAGTATCACACATGAGAGGAAAGGAAGGTAATTTCTGGTTCTAAAAAAACCAAACATTCTCTTATTTTAAAACAACATGAAATTACAACTGATACTTTGAGAGTTAAGAGTGCATGGAGAAGAGCTGGTATTACAGAAAGCTTTGTACCCTCAGCCATGTCTGTCTGAACACCATGGCTGAAAGTGTTTTGTGTTACTGGAAGGGATGTCATCTCTGTAGCTGTCTAAAATTCCAACTGATCTGTGCAGACAGCCATCACTGGCTCTTTTCCTTATTGTGACACTAGCACCTCCCAAACTGCTCAGTCTCTACAACTTAAAGGTGAACCTTTTAGAGACTGAGTGCTCAAACAGCAACCTAAAACCCACTTATTTATTGCAAAGTGACAACACTGCAATTAAACCTGAATACTGAGGTTTTAGTTTAAAAAACAATAATTCATACATTAGCATCTTTTGTTTAAAAGAAAAACAATACGCATGTCATAGGTTCGCCACCAACTTAAGGCAGCTGTTGTCAGTGAGCCTTGGTGTTGAGCAGATATTTAACCTCTGTTGAAAGCAAGAAGACACTGAGAAAAAGATTCTCATTCATATCTACATACTGGATATTACTGAGATTGCTTTCCTTTTCTTGGTGCTGGGACAAACTCAGCTCATATATGCTCTGCAAGTGCTGTCACTGAGCTACGACCCCAGCCCATATTTTTAGCAGGTGAACTTATGTTAAAGCTAAGTAGGTATTCACCTGCTTTTTCCAAGCAAACATTTCCTGTCTCTACTCCCTGAGCTGTGTCTGGACCCTGCCCTGTTTTACCTGGCACTGACTTAACACCTTGCCAATGAATTCTTTAGTTCTAGACCTCCCTCATCCTTTTGGACCTTGGCTACCTTACTAGTTATTTTGTTCAGAATCACCGTTCTACCCCTGAACTTGAGCATCTTTAGAACTGGAATCCAGAGGTCTTTTCTCAGCTAGATCTGTAACCTGTATCTCTTCAGTCGTCATTGTCCTCAGAAGTCTTCCCTTTCTGGGTTGGTGATTTAGCTCAGTAGTGCCGCACCTGCCTTGAAACCACAAGGTCCTGTGTTCGATCCCCGGTACCAGAAAAAAAAAATGTTCTTCCTAAGCAAAAACACTAGTCAGAGGAGAACGAAATCTTCCCTTTCTGTACTGATTCCTGTTGCTATGACCTTCACTCATCAATCTCACTGAGCCTCAGCAGTCCCTCCAAGTCATGGTGCTTCTTGAACATATTAGCAAAAGTACAGAAAGAGTGTATTTGCACAAGGAGATACTGCTTTCCCAAGGGCCTTAAATCTAGGTAAGTGGGAGTCCTTGCTGTGCTTCCCCTAGGAGAACTCACCAGCTTGGAGCCTAGGCTGAAAGACTGCAGGGCACTTACCCACCTGAAGGGGTACTTTCTGTGAAGGAAGGCTATAACATGATATCAGAGGTAAGCCCCAGCCAACAGGTGTTTGGGAAATGACTTCACCTATGACAATGTAATGGCACTGTCAGGAACACACTACAGTTGATTCCTGTGGAGGGCACCTTCTCCGCTACACAGGTTTTTCTAGGTTAGCACATGTCCTCTTAGCTGACAATTTTATTGGGATGGTTTCCCACTATAAATGGTATATAATCTAGTTAAGCTATACAATGGTAACTTCTTACACTTACACTTTTTGTTTGGTACCAGGGATCGAACTTGGGCCCTTGTGCTTGTGAAGCAGATGCCGGAACCATTGAGCTAAATCCCTGGCCCTACACTTACACTTTTATCTACTGTGTGTTGATTTTACGGGTTTACTGCCCATGCAAAGTCTCCTCCCTCTTATGAATCTTTGACAGATGTCCACAAGTTGGATATTTGTCAAAGATTCATAATGAGAAAAAGGTAATAAACATTTTATATGTACATAATCCTCAAATCATTCTTGGAGACTGTTAAAATAGAAGCACCAAGATTAATTCTGTCTACACAGGCACTATACCATGCCTCTATTTGCCTATAACTGTTTAGAAGATAGAATATTGAAATAACCCACACAGTAAAAAAATAGATCTTTACAAGGTAAAGAGTCAAATCAAAAGAATAACTATACGGCACCTGCCTCGCAAGTGCAAGGTCCTGAGTTTGATCCCCGGTACCAAAAAAAAAAAAGAATAACTATGTGGGTAAAAGTGTTCCATGTGTTGATTATTTTAAGCTCATATGGAAAAAATAAGAATAACTGTGGTAGAAAAGTGGGCAAAAAATATGAATATAAATATATACAAATGGCTCTTAAACATTAAAAGTTGGTCAGCTTTGCTCATAGTAAGAATATAAACTAAAAAACACGGGCCATTCTGATAAATTGAAAAAAAAATGATCAACAACTCCAGCATTATAACATCTCTGACAATAAAGTTGTGGGTAAGCAAGTACAGTGATAAATTTCAGATGGCATGTGAATTGGTACTGTCCCCCCAGGTAGGACAGTATATCAGCTAGTGTCCTTTAAAGTGTCAAAGGCACATGCTCTTTGACCTCAAAATTCCACTTATGGGTATTTCTTCTGTAGGTATGTATGCAAACGTGAAATGACATGTAATAGTTTAGAAACAACCCAAATGCCCATTAATGGGACCAGTTAAATGATGGCACATCCATATAATGTAGTACCAGGCACCCCCTGAAAAAGTAATATGGCTTATCTAGTGATATGTGGAAAAAAGCAAAACAGTATGTATATGATGTCACTTTGGATAAAAATGAAAGAAAAAATAAGACTATATTTATATATGCCTTAAAAAGTATGGATATGAAAATAGGAGATAGAGAAACCATGGGCAGATAGGAAAGGGACCTGAGTTAACCATGATAAGCCCTGGGAAAATTGGAACATGAGATAAACTGAAGTGTGCCCCGGGAACCTGGAGGGCAGGGAAGTCTGTCCTCCTGAAATGAGAGGTCTAGCTAAAAAAATATTGTTCCATTTTCATGCACCCACCAAAATAGCCCAACAAAGTACATAAAAACCCCTGACAATGGGTGCTGCCTCGGCATCATCCATCCCTTAGAGCTACTTCTTTGCTAATGAGAGCTTCTCTTTGTTCTAATAAACTCTCTCCATTTGTCCCCCAACTTCTGTGTCCATCTACTTCATCCTTTGATGAGCTCAGAGAAAATAGGTAACAGATGGAAACATAAACCAAGAACAGAGGTTATGTATAATGAGGGTGTGTGCAGTGCAGAAGTTGGGCTGTGGAGACACTTACTGTATAACTTTTGGTTTTAAAACCCATGTGAATGTACTACCTGTTTAAAAAAATCAAAATAAGCATATTTAAAAAGTCTTATGACTCAGTACAGATCAAAAGATGCTAAGTTCCCACTTTTAGTTGAATGGTAATAGACCAACTTATGAAATGACACAGACCATGTTTATGAGTAGAGGCTCTGGAGTTAGGATATTCTAGTTTCAAATTCTGGCTACCTGACTTAGCATGTTACATCTAAAACAGAATTTTACTTAACCTATTAGTGCTTTGGTTAAGATGAAATGATGAAGCCCTTAATTCAAGGCTTGCCAAAGCTTGCCTTTGTGACTAGAAGAGCCACCACCTCAGGCTATCTGGAAAAATACTTTTCCCTATTCCGCAAATTATAATCAGATCTTCATCTCATAAAAAACACTTAAAATGGGAAAAACAAGACAGAAAAGATTGCAGAAACATGTTGTACTTTAATTCACATTTTCTGGAGTCCAGTGGTACAGCAGCAAATTACTTGGAATTCTGTTCACAAAATCAAAGCTGATGTTACTGAAATAGAATATGGATATATGTGTTGGGCTTTGATGCACCTAACTTGTCTTTTGGTGAACAGCTATGGTTTCTGCAGGTACTAGAGTTTCTAAACTGCTGCGAGGCTGTGAACTGTGCTCAAGTGTCCAGCTGAAGACAATGCTGATGAAGACCAAAATAGCTGTCCTGTCTTATATACAATGGCACCTAGGCAAAGTTGAAAAGTGGCACAGTGTTTCATACACATAATGAGATTACAAAATCAACTAATTCAAATGTTCAATGTCAAAACATATGACAAATTTTTAAGAAGTAAAATCTATTACTATTCTGATCTTCCTTGTAACCCAAGAATCAAAACAAGAGGAACACTGAAAATTTACCCATATACAGTTTGTCTAATTTAGATTCCACTTACAAAAATGTTACATGCCATTGAAGGAAAGAATGTTTCCTTTTCTTCATGTTTGTTACTTCTTCGGCAGTTACAATCATTTCTGTCAGTTACATGGTGAAGTGATAGATTTTAAAGTAGGTGAGAAGATACAAACAAAAGACCAAGAGGTACTCACTAGCCGGGCATGTTCACAATGTAAACTGCTCCACTATCGCCTCGCAGCAATGGGTACATGAACTGGAAGACAGTTCACGGTACAAGGACCTAAAACATCACCAGGCTCACAAAACACAGGCTCCTACAGTTTACACATTAGAAATACAAACAAACACAAAATACAGGCAGCCCCTCCCCAAACTAACTTATGGTAAAATAAAGTTAATCAGATGAATTTCAGCTTCAGAATACTTCATTTCTTAGTGAAAAAAATTCATTAAAACTTTGAAGAGAACTTCTTACTCTAACTAGATCTAATTTTTCCTAGAACACACTGTAATACACTATTTTTCCTAAGCTTGAAACAAATTGCAATAAATGAAAATGACCAGAGATTTTCTTTAGTAATAGAGCTTAAATAATAACCTTTAACTACAGGAACAGTGAAGTAACACTACCAGAAAAGTTTTAAATTTACAGTAAAAACACACAAAGTGCCTAATTTCTCACTTTTTAAAAACTCCAAATGAAGTTCATTTAAAAAAATGAAGTTCATTTTTTTAAAAACTCCAAATGAACACTAAAAAGAATTCTTCATGTACTAGCAAGATTAGCAGATAATTGCTTTTAAGGCTCTTTGCCTTAAGGTCTCCTTCCCTCACCATGTAATGCTTACAACCCTAAAAAAAGCAAAGAAAAAGTAGAGGAAGCTGGCCTTTATTATTCAGTCTAACAAACATCATCACTGCAACCAAATTCTGGTTTGTAAAAGTTAGTAATTAGGTGAAAACATGAGACCTTACTCCCCCAATCATATCCTTCACAGAACAGCTAAATATTTTTAAAAGGGGTAAGGCAACTAAGTACAATTTAAAATATGTCATAAAACTGTCAACACATTTCAGACTTTGGCAGAATAAGATGTGGGTTTAAGAGCACTTCAGAAAAGACAGGAGTCTAAGGAGAAACTAGACTACTAGCATTACTTCACAGATGCAACCTTTCAAATCAGTCCCATTATGTCTACTGACACCTTTAAAAGAATCAAGATTTTAAATATTGTTTGGAGAGTTTAAATCTCAGGTTTACAAAGTGATAGTCTAGGACTTATGAGTCCTCCATTGGTCCAGGTCACACAAAGTACCATGGATGCAAAATGAACTAAAGATGGAAAGAGGAGGGAGAGGACAGGAAGCTGAGAAGATGGCTAACTTAATCTCCCTGCTGAAATACCTCACTAGAGAAAATTAGATGGGGAGTTAAGAGGGTTGCACAGGTTGTATTCAAAATTAAATCCTTTAAAAAAAGCAAATTTTGTATAGTTTTAATTGGCATTACAAATTCATAGAATCCGACTCAAATTTCATCAACAACTAATTATATAAATATGGAGGGCTTTTCTTTTTAAAGTAACTGGACATGTCTAAAATTAGGAGAGAAAGGCAAAGTTCGAAGAAGTGATCTGTAGGTTCTAAATAAAAAACACCAGCCCAGTAGCGCACATCTGCCTGGCTGAGCATGGGAAGAGCACTCATCTATCCACCTTTACCACCACAGGTCCTTCAGACCCAAAACAAAGCAGCAACCAGAACTAAACACCTCAAATACAACCAATGAAATTGAAGCTGAAATCCTGGGGAATCTTAAGGAACCTCTGAAACCACCCACCGAAAAGACCAATCACTGCACTGATGGCTCCATATTATTGATGTCAGCTGTAGTGCTGGACAAGGCTAAAAACACATTAAATCATTGATAAAATTCACCACCGATAGCAGCCCTGAGCAACACTGGTTCTCTCGTTCTCCTTTTCCACAATAGGTGGTAACTATTATTATAAGAGAGATAGTCATTAAAGTTCAACAAGAGGAAATGAAAGAACAACAATAAGGACAAAACCAGTTTGAAACATAGAATGTTCAACAGAAACATAAACAGAATTAGTATAACTTACATGTTTTAAAGTACATACTTCATTTATAAATAGTTCTAATCTACTTAGGATCATAAATATTCAAGTGAGCATTTGAATGTTTTCTTTTAAGAGTTCAGAATTCTTGAAGTCTTAGTCTTTTTGCTTACTGTCCAAAACTAAAAGGCTTCACACAGTCATTTTGTCTCTAGACATATAAAAGCCTTCATTACCTGCTGTGCTGTAGTAAGACTTTAAAGTTCTGTAACTCCCTTATACTTGTAGAAAGCCTGTAGGAGGGGAAAAAAGCAATGTTAGTACATACAGGTAATTTGTGTACATATTTCAAATTACTGATACTGTTATACAGGCTATAAAGTGAAATCTAGAATATATAAGCAACACTAAACATGAGAGATTCCATTTTTATTTTTTGGTACTGGGGATCAAACTCGGGACCTTGCGCTTGAGAGGCAGGTGGTTGAACCACTGAGCTAAATCCCTGGCCCAAAGATTCCCTTTTTAAATGAGTATGCTACAATTTTTATTGAAACTGATAAAATATGGAGCTATGGTTTTTTGGCCTTGGTTTAGAAGAGGCAAAGGAAACCAGTTACTACTTCTTGTCAATAGAATGTAGATTAAGATGGAAACCAAGACAGGAATAATTCATAATGATAAATAATCTCAAATCAATTATGTTTGACCTTTTAAACTCATTTGGCACACTCTCCAAATGGCCATTCCTTCTTGCTGTTGCTTCCCAAACAACCTAATTTACACTGTTGGATCCTCAAGGGTAAAGACTATTTTATCTCCCGCACCTATCTGTGTATGGTGTTTTTTAAGTGGTTACTGACTTGCTGAATGAAGGAACAAAGAGCTCTTCAGCCTCAGCCCAGATGTGAAACTGGAGTGGGAAACACAAAAAACTCTTCAAGCTCAGTTTTCTTTATGTACAATTTGTACAATTCAGGGTTGACACAAGAAAAATACAACATTTCTCTTTCCTACAACTTAGGGGATGTCGTATGCAGTGTTAAGCTTCTTTTATCAACACTTAAAATGTTACCATTTATTGAGAGCTTAGGATCTGCCGTGCAGTTTTCTAGCCTATCATGTGTATGACCTCAAAAAACACTGAAAAGCAGAAAGTAGATATAATTAACCCTGGTTTTACATTTCAGCAAAACCAAGGCTCAAATCAGTCAAGTATTTCCCCAGGTTCACCCAGCTAGTAGGTGGGCTCTAACAATAAGAGGGTTTTATCTTCGTTTTACCTAAAAAGGAAGCATAGCCAAAGAGCAGGGATTTGCTGGAACCCACACTGCTAGTAAATGACAAGCCAGTATTCCAGGACTCTTAAAATGAAATGGGTTCTAGATACAGAACTAAATCTATACGGGTGCATTTAGGAGACCCAGGGAAATTTAGGTAAAATTATTTTTTTCTTCTCAATTTTACTTGGACTAGCATTTAAATTACGTAAAGTCCTTTTCAGTTGTTTTATTTATTTTTTGTTTTCTAAGACAGGGTATCACTATGTAGTTCAGGATGGCCTTGAACTTGCAGTGATCCTTCTGTCTCAGCTTCCTAAGTGCTGGGATTACAGGCACACACCACCATGCCTGGCTTCATTTCAATTTCATCATTTCTCCTATGTTAACTTCCTATAGGCCTAAGTGGGTAGACTGAATTTTTCATGAAATACAGATTAAAAATGGACATTCTGTCTTGTGTTTTAAATCTCAACCCATATGCTTATCATTAAATACAGGGAAGCAAGAGGTATGACTTCTGCAATTAAGATGGGAAATGTATAATATCTATTTTAAATTATGTCATTTGAACATACACATACTAAGAAAACATAAGCAATAATTTCTGTATCCGTTGGTCCCTTATTAAAAAAAAAAATCTTTTCCTTGATTTGACTTTTTTGCCCTATTTTTCCATGACAGCATAGTATTATTTTCTGTGATTCTTATCCTTGTGCTCTATGTATGCAACAGTTGGCACTGCATGTATCTTTGTAGGCAAGTTAAAATTATTTTTTAAATCATTTGTGGTATAAACAAGCTAAGTGTAAACAAAAAGTGGGATAGAAATGAGTGAAAAGACTCCTCAGCTTAAAATAAAGAGCAGACAGTTGAATCTCCTGATATCCTTCTAGAACATGCTCTCTTGACTCCTATAATTGCATTTGAACAAGTTAGAGCCACTGAAAGAGATTATTAGAAGAATATTTTTCCCCACAAAACTGAGGAGGCACACTGAAAATACTGGCAACTGTTCGAAATTTTTCCTGTGACCTATAGAAAAACTGACTTGTCAGACTTGAAGCCATTCTAGGCAAAGTGAGGACAGATAAAGTTGTATCATTTTGTCAACAAACCAAAGGAGCACATTCTGCTTTAGCAGAGAAGACAATTTCTGCACTATGGAAACCTGAAAGGGAATTAAGTCTTCTCTTATTTGGTACAGAAATGGTTCTTACCTTCCAAAAGCATTTAAAAGAGCAACTATTTCCTGCCGAGTGAGTTGGAAGCCTTTAGAAGGACTGTTCTCTGGAAGCTTTTGGATTTCTTTTTCAGAGAATAGTATCTTCAAGGCAGTTCCTAAACCCTGAGTCTTAAAAAAACAAAACAAAAAAACCCTTATAAATAACTTCATATAACAACAACTGCAATAAAGATTTAAACGAATACCCAGCTACCATGATGACTATCAGGAAATTCATATGAACTGAGGTTTTCACCAAAATGTTAAACTATGCACAATATAATTTCTATTCCCTCTCAGGTTTACATGTAATAAACTTAGCTGTTAAGGAAACCTGAATAGTCTTAACACTTGTTGGACATGCACTATTCTAAATTACTAAGATGTCTGTTTTTAACTTTGAAAATATCACATAAGAAAAAGAAAAAAGAATAAAAGAAAATATCACATAAGGACTTCAATGTTTGATTTGTAAACTTGAAAGTTTTTTTCTTTTCTAGGTGTTTTTCTTTTTTCTTTTTTGATGCTAGGCATTGGAACTCAGCGCCTCATGCATGCTAGTCAAGTTCTCCACCACTGAGACAAATCCCTAACCCCATTGAAAGCATTTTTTATACACTCTAATAATTCAAAACTCAGATTACCAGTGATAACTACACTCAATTTCTCAATTATTAACATGAGAGGAAAATAAATTTGAATTTCAGCATAGCTTCCACTGAAATAATTCTTTTTTTGAGACAGTCCTGCTATGTAGTTCAGGCCGACCTCAAATTCATTATGTAGCCCAGGGTGGCCTTGTGATCCACCTTTTTCAGCCTCCCAAGAACTGAGATTATTATCATGTGCCACCACACCTGACTTCATTCTGTCTCTTGATTTTCTCTTATTATCATCTCTGCACAGAAACAAGATTAAAAAATATCAAACAGTCCTTTTATACTGAGTATTCAGGGTGATGAACCTTCTTTGTACTTTGTGACACAATGGCCATTGTGGTCAAAACCACCGAGACAAATTCAATAACAAATTTATTTTAATTTTTATAATTTTACCTTTTAAATACATAAAATTTTTATTCATACACCAACTTCAGAAATGAATCTGAATAATACCATAGTTACGATATACAAAATTAAAAAAGTAATAGAAAAGCATCTGTGCATGTGAACACGCAAGAGTTTAAATGTATTTTTCACCAATAAAATAGAAAAATCACACTTTGTATCTGCCTATTACTAAACTCTTAATTCAGTGAACAATGAGGACATTTAAATAAAAAATTGCAACGACTCAGTGGGAAAATGTAAGGTTAATAACAGCTCCAGAAGAAAAGACAACATACATACTTGTAACTTCCCCCATAATCTGCACTTGTCACATCCAACACAGTCCATAATATGGGAGATATTTTTGAAATGTAACCGGAATTCCTCCTAGCAGACAGAAAATACTTTGTCTAATTAGGCTTTAAAAAGTAAACTCTATTTGACTAATCTGTAAGAATTAAAATTTGTGAGTTTATTAATGAGCTGCTTTTCAAAACTAAAGAAAAATAATTCGTATAGCAAAATGGCACACTAAAACAACTGACAATGGAAATTTATAAAAATTCATTCCACATATTAACTCAAACTTTATGGAGGGGTGGCTTGATGCAAAGCACCAAAATATACATTATGATGGACCCAAAAGTAAACAATATGTGGTGTTTACTTTTAAGGAATTTAACTGCTACTTCCATTTGATATCTATATACAACCAATGGGAAATATCTTTTCTTTTATGTTCCATTTACTTTAGAGGTTTTGCTTTGTGTGCACCTAAATGAGAATGCTGGCCCTAGAATAATGATTAAGTTTTAAATCACTCCTTATTACTACACTACATTTGTCACAGGGGCTCAATAAATATTGAGGATCACCATTTAAAGCAAAATATAATCAGACTAACTTCAAAAAGTTGTAGAAGTGGAAAAGAGTATAGATGAATACAATTAAAATGTAACCAGTAAACAGCTCCCCACCCTGTCCCTCAATCAAGAACTTTTTACCTTTAATGATTTGGCCCCCTTTGTGTCACCTGCAAACATGGATTTCTCATCAAAGTGCATGGGGAAGGACCTGGTAAAATGACAGTGTGCTAATAAGTTACAGATGGAAAATCCAAATACCCTGTATTAGAGCTTAAGAAGAATTTCTACTCCTACAAATATTTAAGATTCATTATTTACTTATAAGACAATAATTCACATATAAACTAATAAAAAATTAAAACTACAAA